ATTCTGATTTCTGGAAATCGACTGCAGATCTTGCTAATAACGAAAATAGCTCAGCTAAATATAGAACTTCGATGCGAAGTGGAAGGTTACTTTTAAAGTTTTAACACTAGAGGGTTCTATTTTTTCTTCCCTACCTACACCTTTTACTGTTTTTTGATCAATAAATCAATGGAAAGAAAAAATTTATATACCGATGGAAATGTGCAATATTAAGCAATAACTAGAATAATTTCGATAAGATTACAGAATACACACCTCAATGTTTCGATCTTCCTTTGGGTAGTTTAAAGAAAATCCTAAATAAAAAAATTAAGCATTTGTTTTGTTTTTCTTCTGTTACACTGACGAATTTTAACATTGTTCGATCACTTCTTATTTTGAAAGAAATCACAGCGCCTCCTTATGGTGCAAAAAAAAAAAAATATCCCGACATTTTAGATGAATTTCAATAGTATTCCAAATCTTTACAAATTGTGAATAATGACTAAATTAGTTAAGACTAACTAACGATGAACCATTGGAAAACATAAGAAGAGCGCTTAAAGAAACTTGCTAAAATATGAAACATTCAGTTTGAATTAGCTTCGGTTTGTTTTATGTTAACGAACTAACAGGATTCTGATATTTTTCAACATGAAAACTTGGTTATGCATGATTTTGAGAATTAAAAAAAAAATTAATAGCATAAATAAAATGTAAGTTTAACATTCAAACCTTTAATATGCGAATTCGCATGGTGTATGTAAACTTAAAAAATAAACTCCTCTTGCATAGGGTTACTATTAATTTTTTTTTAAAAATTGGTTTTAATATTAGTTATATTTGTTTTTTATCGTTATCTGATAAATTAATTAATTAATTTTAATTTTATTAAATTCAACTGATATCAATGACATCAAATTAACTCAGGGAATATAGTAACTTTCCTAATTTTCTTTGGAAACAATATATATATACATATATATTTGTTTTTATTTTTTGTTTAAGGTTGATTTACTCTGTTATATATGATCCGTTCTGGTCTATTACCTTCTTCCATCTCCCAGGAAGCCTCTTATACTCTTTTTCCAAAATTGTTCAGATTTACATGCAAAATATTCTTCGATTTGCGTTTTTATTTTACTTTCGGATTTGTGACAATAATCGCGGAGAGAATTTTTTAAAGAAAGAAATAAGTAATAATAGGATGGGGCAAGCTCTGGAGAGTACTCAGGATGAAGTAGAAAGTCCCAATCATTTGTACACTATTTCTGTCTCACGGCCAATGTCACATGTTACGTTGGGCGTAAGATAGAAACTCTTGCAGTTTTGAATATATACATATATATATATATATATATATATATATATATATATATATATATATATATATATATATACACAGTACCAGCCTTAGGGTGAGGTAACCATGGCAATCGCCCCGAGGCGCCGGCCAGTCTTAAGGAGCGCTTGTCAATTGTTAGGTATTTAAAAAAATACAAAACGAAATTAAAATAACTAATGTTAGCCTATCAATAAAGCAATTGCATTAGAGAAATATTGATTGAAATAAAATTCAAATATTACATTATATATATATATATATATATACATATATAAAAAAGGATATTTGAACACGTGAGGGTTTCATTCAAAGAACAATTGCAATACAAATTTTGCATCTTATTCGAAAATAAAATGTATCCTTCTAATATAATTAGTTCACTTACAGTTACCCATTTTTTAAAAATAAGTTCCTCGAAATATTAGTATTTCTTTTTATATATTTTTGATGTTACTCCTTGGTTTTTTTTTCTGTATTTTTTAATTTCTTTCACTAATCAAATTCCATTATTGGAAAAACAGATGTCTGTCAAGATGTAGAATTTTTGGAATCCTTTTAAATTCTTATATATCTCCTCAAGACGCGTTCTTACATTTTTTAAAAATATGTATGTTTTAGAATTTTTGACCCATTCTCGTTGTTTTCGGTAGGTTTGATTTAGGTTCAAAATTTATTGTTATTATATATTTACTTCAATAATAATCAAGCACTATTTATAAGCAATGTTGTGTTGTTTAAATCTGTTTTGCATGAGTAGCGCCCCTTAAAGGAATGTCAGGTGGGAACATTCTTTGAATTGGAAATACATCGGCTCTGTGAAGAATCTAGCTGACTTCAATTCTTTGTATTCTCTTCTGGTCCCCTCTCTCAGGAGCCGACCTTCATCTTTGAATTCCAAACGTTTGATTACACACTTCCTTGTTACTTCTTTTTGTTTTTCGGATTCAGTGTGCCCTGTCTTGATAATGGCATGGCCTGTCTAATCTGAAGGCCCGAATGCCATCTAAGACTTCCTTAAATATTTCTCTTGAGATAACTCATAGATCGACAAGGCCGTAAAATTACACTCCGGCCCACGCCGCGGTTTACCTCTAGGCGCCTCGCCAACATTCATTACCTTTTTAGTGTCTCTTTTATTCCGTAGCCACCTCACGATTAAATTTATTGGAAACAGTCGTGTTTGAACATTGTAATTTGAACTACAGAAGATACTGCTTCCTCGCATTGAAAATATTCATTATTTTTACTTTACAACGACTAACTGCAATACGCCCTGGGGCAACATTCAAAGGTCACTTCTTCCCAATTCATAGAATTTTTTTTTTATCTTCTTATTTTTCTTTTTTTAGGAAGCCTACGTTTATATATTTTTCATAATTAAGGCAAAAAAACTTCCAATTTCCTTTATTCACATTTATCCCCTCTAAGGTTTGGGACAATTTTCCCATCATCAGAGCAATCTTTATATTCACTGAAACTATGCACATTTTTAAATATACTATTTTTACAGCACTACTCTATTTCACCTATTGTACAATTATTTACCTTGCTTTTTTTATGTGGCACCATTTGTCAAAAATATTTGTCACATTCATTATATATTTATTTGGTGTTACACATCCTTTTTTATTCATTGTTTTTTATTCACTACAGAAAATAAAATAAACTTCCTCGCATTGAAAATATTCATAATTTTTACTTTACAACCAGAAGCACGACTAACTGCAATACGCCCTAGGGCAACATTCAAAGGGCAACTTCCCTAGGGAAACTTCTGCCCAATTCATAGAATTTTTTTTTTATCTTCTTCTTTTTTTTTTTTTTTTTTTTTTTTTTTTTAGGAAGCCTACGTTTATATATTTTTCATAATTAAGGCAAAAAAACTTCCAATTTCCTTTATTCACATTTATCACCTCTAATGTTTCGGGACAATTTTCCCATCATCAGAGCAATCCTTATATTCACTGAAACTATGCACATTTTTAAATATACTATTTTTACAGCGGTACTCTACTTCACCTATTGTACAATTGTTTACCTGGCTTTTTTTATGTGGCACCATTTGTCAAAAATGTAAATATTTGTCACATTCATTATATATTTATTTGGTGTTACACATCCATTTTTTATTCATTGTTACACTAACCTACATCTGGCTATCTTCAATATCATTACTGTACTTTGTACTTGTCCTCTTATTTCTTATTATGTCTACTTGTTGTGTTTTTTTTTTTGTCTATTGTTGTTTTTTGAATTTCAATATTGGATATTATGTCCGAATAGTGTGTATCAAAGTGTTTTGTATCTGTTTTATAATTTACTGTTCTATTATTGTTTTTTGTTATATGGCTTCCAGCAGTTTCCTGTTGTTTGATCTAGGTTCTATTACTAATAGGTGTGGGTTTTTGAAGTCAAATGTGTGTAGTGATTTAATACTGTGATTTGCTAGGGCTGTTATGTTAATGTTTTTACTATTTTTGCAATTTGATGTATGTTGTGATATTCTGAATTTTTGAAAAATATAATTTTTTAATATGAAAAATAATTTTGAAAGATTATTAATTTTTTATTCTTAGCACAAAAACTGTGAGAAGAGTTTCTCTTTTTCATTTATTATCAAAGTTGAGGCTAAATGTTTACTTAATTGCAGCTTTAGAGCATGTTCGGATATGTTCAGTACTATTTGATAGATATGACAGTTATTCTGCATGATATATCTTGCCATATTACACATAATTCTTTAGTAGCAACAGCAATACTTACTATAGTTAATATAAAAATAATTTAAAAGATACTTGATTTTTTTTTTTCACATCTCCTCTTTTACATTGCTTCTTGTGTTCTTCTAATTTTTCTGTCCACTTCATAATCCTTTTACAGCTAAATGCATTGTAAGGTGTATTTTAGGTTTATTTACTGTAGTGAGTTTCAAATAAGTCTGATGTATATCGGTAGAGAGGCTCACCTCTGACTTGAATTAATAAACTGAAATTAACTATATTATATAACAACAATGTCTAATTAAAATGAGAATTGGGAACTTTCATGTGAGGGGACGGGGTGGACGAATGGGCTAAAGCGTGTACACAGCACCGCAAGTAGTTCGCGTCCCGGTGCCAGAGGGGATTTTAAATTCCCTAAATTAAAAAAAAAAAAAAAGTTACTTTCATGGGAAAAAAATCCTGTAAATTTCAGGTATAATAGAAATCAGATGATAAACATCTTATATGATCGATATAGCACCTTTCAAATTATTAAAAAAAAAAGGATCATATTTAGCTTAAAATTTGAAATAATACTATGCTTGGAAGGTTATTTTATTCTATTATACTTATTTATGGGACTGGGAACGTGGCCTGAATCCACTGTGGAGTGACGTATACCCCTGCATATTAGAATATTGTAAAACATAGCCATAAGTTTATTAAACGCCATTATACAACAAAACACACAAATTAACCAGACACTGTTTTGAACATCTCTAATTAATGGTCTTGAGTTGTATTTAAAGTATATGCTGAACTGCCTTGGTAACCTAAAGATAACTGTCTCTATTTGCAAAAATTCAAATGTTAATTGTTTTAGAATCTTATCAGTAATTTTATTTGATTTTAATAGTTAATTTAATTTCTCTAATGCTCTTAATTCTCTAAGTTAATGCATTTCATCAATAAAATGCATTACTGATCAGTTTGTCTGCTTATTTCTGTTACAGCACTGAAAAGCCTTTCTGGCAAGGCAGAGGAGATGATTGAGAAGACAAAGACCTCTGTGGGCGAAATGGCAGCTGAAAAGAAAGCGGCCGCAGCAGCCATGTTAGAAGCCCAGGCCAAGAAGACAGGGGATGTCCTTTGGCAGAGTAAAAGCAACCTGGAATCTACTGCAATCGATGCTGCAGTAGAAGGAAAACAGGCAGCTATTGATGGCTTCGATAAAGAAATAGAAAAAGTCGAGAAGGTCGTCGAAGAAGGTGTACATGAGGTAATACCGTCTCCATGGTAGCGAACATTAAACATAATGTTCATCCAAAAATTGGAGATCTTTGGAGTCATAATAAGTATTTTTTATGAAAATACATGCTTGTTTCAAGGTCTTTTAAAGTCTACAACACTAACAGCTACATCTTTTTATTATACACCTCTATCAGAAGAAATAACCATGCTTTTTTTCATGTTATATGAGCAACCTAAGATTAACCAGTTGGTTGGGCAGCAAATACTTAACTTGTATAATATAACTTGCAACTATTGTAAAACAATAATTTGCTCTCACATGCTATTAGCTACGATAAATTCGTGAAGCATACAATCACTAGAAAGCTTTCTCTTTTAGATTTCAAGAAATGGAAAAGTCTTGATTTGTATTTTGCAGTTTATGCCAAAATCTACCTTAAACTTCAATAATGCTCAAAAAGAATATTTAATTTTGATTTATATTTTATGTATGAGGCTACATTTTTGTATTATACACCTCTATCAGAACAAATAACTGTGCTTACTTCATTTCCTATAAACAACCTAAGATTAACCTGTTGGTTGGGTAGCAAATACATAACTTGCAACTAGCTAAAATCAATAATTTGCTTTCGCACGCTATTAGCTATTTTTTTGTCTCATAAAACGTTTATCAATAGATCAAGGTGGCATTGAAACTAATTGGCTCATATATAATTATAATTTTAATTAGACCATACCTGTTGATTTTACATCATTCATAAATAATAAATGAAACAAAAAGTAGGAACCTTATTGACCAGGATTTCCTTGTATGTTCCTATTCCTTGTATGCTCCTTATGTTTCAGATTTGGCCCAATCCAGATACCTATTCTTCCATAATAAACTTCAGAATCATCCCAACCCTCTAGTTTCTAACCTTGCTTCCTATTCAATTCCTGATAACCCTCGGAGATGCCTGAAAAGAAGATGGCCCCCTGATCTCCTAATATAGACATATTATTAGAGTGCTACCAATGGGTAGTTTCTCAACATGTGTTTCATGTCATTATATCCATGTGCGAATTTACCAGATGTATTTTTTTTTATACAGTTGTAAATATCATATAAATAATAATAATAATTTTAAAATTAACCTCAATTGGGATTTTTAAAAATCAACTACAAAAAATTAATCATATATTTTTTAAAAACGGTGCATTTTTAAATTGAGACTTGATTATACTGCTTTAGATTAATTTAAATATTTAAAAAAGTGGATTTTGAGGTAAGTTCCTTTGCTTTAATTAAAATCCATATTCCCTCGCATAACACGGTTTTGTCAAAGAACATTCAGCCAAGCGGCAATAAAATGTTTGTTTACAAATACTTTCATACTTGTTTCTTTGAAAACTGGAAAATTAATATACACATGTTTTGAAGCCGCAAATAACAGAACTATGAGGAACTTTGTAAAGCCTGTATTAACGTGCATTATATTAAATTATTAAATATATTATCTCCAATCATACTATTATTTATACAATAAAATGTGTGTACTTGGGTAGTAATTTTGTAACCTACACCAAACAATACGAGTTTAAAATATCTTTTGATCCCAGAAAGATAACTTCAAAATGTTATTTTAAATAAAAAAATTGAGATAAAAAAAATTAAAAACCTATTTCCGGCTTGATGTCATCCATGGGTTGGACATACCTGTTCTCAACTACAAACCTAATATAATATATTATAAGTATTTAAATTCATGCTATGTACATGTCATAAAGAAAATTTAGTTCAAGTATTTAGTTTATACTGTTTGAATTGAAATTTAGCCCTTGAATTGTAAAATATGCAATATCATGCAACAAAAACAAAACACGAACAATCAAGCCCAAAAAGTTTTCTGTATATATGGTGTGAATGTGTTCATGTATCACTATAATTATTGTCCATATGACAGATTATTATATTACTAAATAAAAAAAAATGTTATTCTCTATATCATGAATCGGATATATTTTCAGGTTACAAGTTTTTACACCAAACCGAACAAAATGCGCAATAACATGAAAATCTGGTCTCTAATTATAAGTATTAAAGTGAATGAGTAAGGGTTAGTTACCTGGAAGATATTTTTTTGGTCACAACACCTGTTAATAGAATATATATTTAAAATAAATAATAATAACAAGTAAATTATCAACGTTTAAGAAATAATATAGATTAAATTAATAAAAATACTTTAATATTTTAGTGAATTACACTTACAAGGTTTTAGCATATGATATGCATATTTTAAATATATTATTAAAGAACATTAATGATACATGTATAACATATACTTATCATAAACGTACTTGTACAGAATAATCACTTTTTGAACAAAATAAAAAAATTATAACTCTACTATCATTCTAACCTCCTTAAATATATGTAAATTATTGTAAGTAATTAACTGTTATATTGTAGTACACTTTTTACATTTTTTTAAGGATTAGTCTAAATAGTAAAATTATTTTTGTCATCATTAATGTACAGAAAGTTCCAATCTGCATTAAACATATATAAACCTTTTTCATATTGATTAAAGTTTTTTTAATATTTATCTCATCTACAGGTTTGCTTTTAATTGATGTTTTAGAATTTCATTTATTATTTTATATTTTTTATTTCAAGCATGTTACTCGAAAAGCAAAGCCAAAAGAATGGGATGAATATTAGAAAATTCGTGTAAATTCAGATTGAATCTTTCTGTGAAATCTTACAAGTTAATTTTGAAATTGATATGAAGGGCCTAATGTAGAGTTATAAATAAATAATGTTAATATAAATAAAATAATCTATAAAGTGTTTTGAAAGAATTTTGATAAATATTTTCCAAATAATCAGAAAGCCTACAGATTCATGTTTATGTTTATGAAACAATCTTGCCTTTAAGAGTTCAATGTAATATTAATTTCATCTTGATAAATATTAATGTGGGTAAATAGATTCATTTTTGAAAATCCCTCTGCAAGTATTAAAGTAGAAATAACTTTGGGCTTGGGAATATTTAGCCATTGTTAGCATGAATTTGGTTTTTCTCAACATGTTTTTACAGAATTAAAGAGGAATTGGTTGGGGTATTCATTCAAACAAAGTAAAAATAAATAAAGAATTTTAATGAATATTTTCCAAATAACCTAAAAAACAACATAATACTCTTTACCTTTATGAAACAGTTTTGCCTTCAGGAGTTCAATTTTATCTTAATTAATATTAATGTGGGTAAATAGGCCCAATTTTGATAATCCTCTGGAAGTATTAAAAATGGATGAATAAAGTAGATTTATTTTTACTTTGTTCATTCTTTGACTATCATGTTTCTACAGAATTGTTAAATAATCTCTACTATAATTATTTTTTTCAATACAAATAAAAATGTATTTTATTAATTTGTTTGCTTGTTATCTTCTAGTAATTAATATTTTTTTTCATCAATATTGGTAATTTTAAAATTTATTCTTAACCTTGTGAGTTAGAATTTGAAAAATGATTTTTGATCTTAATCTTAATATTCCCTCCAATTCTGATACTTATTTTTTGGACTATTACTTTTAATATTTAGCAAATATAAATTCTTTCTATTCTTACTAGAGCAAACTAATTTGGATTCAACTTGCAAATTTTGATACTACATTTAAATAAAATCTAATTTACTATGTCATTCATTAATTCGCTTAACTTATGTAATTATCAAAATTGAAATTAATTGTTTAATATCAATTATTATTACAGCTTTTGGTAATTGATTTTTTTTAAATTAAAAGGGTTTTAGTGATAGTTTTTTTTTTTTTTTTTTGTCAATACGAGACGAAACTCCTTTTTTATTATTTTATATTTCTATTTCATATTCTCCACAATAGGTCATTTCACATAAAATGTCAACTTCATACTATTGTATCAATAAAACTGGAATGGATATAATCTAGTTTTATGATCAAAGTATATAACTTGCTTATAAAACTATTCTCCTCATGAAAAGATTTTTTTTATTCATTTCCTATAAAGCACGGGGTGAGAATTATTATAAATTCTTGGGATGTATTTAGCTTTGCCATAAATTTTTAGAAAAATTAATGCTTGCGTACTGCTACCCAACCAGGTTCAACACCGGTAGTTTGTTTTATGTTATAGTCAATCTCAAAATGGTTGATTAATTATTTATTAATGTTTAATCAAATTGGTTTCAATTATGCAAAGAAGTTATGCACGCATTCCAGTTTTATAAAATTCCATAGTTTTTAATCTGACTTATTTAAAAAATAAATATACTGGTGCGTTCATACACAGTAAAAACTTGGAAACATATTTTTATTTCTATTTAATCAGATTAAAATAAAAATTTGGAATTTTAAGTTAATTTGGTGGATGATTTATTTTATCATAACTATGAACATCATTATATGAATGACCTGAAATAATTATTGTTGCCACGGCTGCATGTAATATACAATCTTTTACTTGAAGAAACAAAAGACTGAACGATCCTTCCTTCCCCTACCACCTCGAGCACACTCATCCTGTAGTAGTAGTAGACTTTGCACTTTTGTTTGGCATTCGCTTATTTATTTATATTTTATTTTATTTGTATTTCATTATTTATTTTAATTTTGTTTTATTTATTCAATTTATTTCCATTTTTTTTTTTTTAGTTTGTTTAGTAGATGATTTTTGTTTATTATTAGAATAAAGAGGAAACCAAACCTGTAGAGAATACACCATCCGAACCTTCACCTTCTGAACCTGCACCTTCTTCAATGCTTGATCCTACCAAACTTTTGGGAAGTTTGGATATTTCTGGCGGTATCGGTACCGTGGAGAAGGAAGTCGAAAAGACTATTGATAATGCCATCAAGGAGGTGAATGACAACATTATTATTGGCAATATTTTGTTAAACATTAAAAAAATATATTATTAGTGCCATGTAATAACAGTATAAATTTAATATTTATGTAAATACAGTAGAACCCCCCATTAACTCTTCTGATCAGGAAACATCACTTCAGCTGATTTTTTTTTTTAAATTAAACATCCTTTATATTTTATAATTTAAATTTATAAACTTAGTGCTATATTTTTTTCTCTACCCTTTCAGCTATACAAGGTTTTCCCAGGCCTGGGGAGAGGTTAAGGGATTAACTCCAGAGTTAAAACTCACTACTGGCACCAGGAAATCCTAATGCTATTTAAAGATAATGAATAACTCGAGATTCTTGATCCTTTTTTTTTTTTTTAACTTCACAGAGTGCTAAATGCTGAATTAATAGTCTGTGGTACAGTCCCCCTTTTTATCGAATTATTCACATCTGCCTGAAACTTTGTTAATAGTTTCATCTCATCGTAACCTACAACTATTTTATTTATGAAAACTATTGGAATTGGGGCGTTTTCAATCTGGAGAGGGGCAAACTTTGTCTATTTAATTAGGTACTAAAAACTCGTAGATACTCATTTGTTTTCTACTTCAATCGTAAGATAATTTTATCAGGAAATTGAGAAAAAAGGTGGCCAAAACAAATATTGGGCCGTTTGTCCTATATAACCTGGTTATTTTGAAAATTTGGGGGTGTAGGTAATGCCAAACGGCTCAATATATTACGTTTACTCAAAGTTTGCCTCTCTCCAGATTGAAAACGCCCGAATTCTAAGAGTTTTCATAAATAAAATAGTTGTATGTTATGATGAGATGAAACTATTTACGAAGTTTCAGGTGGATGTTGATAAAAAGAGCTCTGTACCACGTACTATAACTCAACTATGAAAACATATATTTAATTTTATATTTATATAAATTAGGCCAATTATCACCAAACATTTTATTGATAAGTTATTTAATTCGATGTTTCGACCATACTAAGGGTCATTTTCAAGTCCTTGATGAGTCCTCCGTTATATATTCATCATTAATGTTGCAAATAATATGTTTAGTGAACATTAAATTGTCAAGGTCTATAGGGGTTTCACCTACGTCATTTCTGGAGGGACTGACATTTTAATGTTCACTAAACATATTATTTGCGACATTAATGATGAATATATAACGGAGGACTCATCAAGGACTTGAAAATGACCCTTAGTATGGTCGAAACGTCGACTTAAATAACGTATCGATAAAATGTTTGGTGATAATTGGCCTAATTTATATAAATATAAAACCTCAAGACACCAAAATCAGGATAAATGAACAGAAGACATATATTTAATGTTTTCCCAAAAATATTAGACAATGGGGGATGGTGGGAGGTGATGGTGTATTTTATATCCATTTAAGAATCTCTCTCTCTCTCTATATATATAGATATGTGTGTGTGAAGGCAAAAAAATAAAATATATGATTATTATCCAAAAATTTCACCACAATAACAGGATCTCTGTACAAGGAAAATCATTCCCGAGAGTGGAAAAATTCAAATAACCTCAATAAATGACTAACAGGCAGAAATAGCCCAGTGTATAAACTACGTTTCTTACATACAGAGCTTTCTTCTTCCTTTCGAAGGTATTAAAATCCCAAAAAATATCAATAAATCTCAAATTAAGGGTGAACAATGCTATGATAAAGGCAGTTCTAATAAACGGCTGTGATACTTGGACACTAACCAGCACCGTAGAAAAAAGTGTTGAAAGATTTGAGAGAAAAATCCTCTGCACGATAACCAGAGTGATCTGGGATTAGAGTGTTAACACATGGAGAAAAAAGACCAATAAAGAACTGTTTACAGAAACTGGTCAATCAATATCCCATGATATGAAGGCACGGAGGTAAAGATGAGAGGGGCATGTAGCTCATAGCAATCCATCTGGAAGCCTCTACGTAAAAATGAATGCTAAAGACCATGTGGAAGGCCAAAAAGCAGATAGATAGAATCAACAAAGATGCAATAGAGCTGTGTGCAAATAAATATAAATAGTCCAAGACAGGCAGAGATTGAACAGGCTTGTTAAGGTGGCGAAAGATCTACATGGTCTGTAATGCCAACAGAAAAAAATATATCTAATGCATATATATATATATATATATATATATATATATATATATATATATATTAGATTTATATCAGACCACCCAATGTTAATTTCTCCATTTACACCCACCTCCATTGGATCAAATGAGGTGAAATTTGGTAAGTAGAGTTGTTTCCTATTCAGTACAACACCAAAAAAATTTCGCTAAATTTTTCTCATTTTTAAAGATTTGGTAGGGTAGTTCTCTACAGTCCCTTCTTGAAAATATATTTTTTGTGAATTCAGTTCATGTTGGAGAAGTTCCTTTCCAAAGAGACGATCCTGTTTATTTAAGAGCCCTCCAAATTGAATTAAGGAATTAAAAATTTGTATATAAATTGAGTTGGTGTTAGAAGAAGTGCTCTTTGAGGGTCTCCGAAGAACTGCTTTTTAAGCCTTGCTCCTTTCTATCATTTAAAATATTTTGATAAATGAAATTAAAAATAAGAAACAAATTAAATAATTTTCAAAAAAGAAATTTAGAAATTCAATTGACTTAAAAATTCTATTGAATTTCCTCAATATGATCTCAAAGATGGAACTCTGCAGTTCATGTGTTTTTTGTTTTTTTACTTTTGATTTTTCCGAAGCGGGGTTCTACTGTATTATTGAAAACATCCAAATTTAAATTAATTATTTTCCCAAGAACAAACTTTTTTTTCTTTAAATCTTCATCCGTACCAATTATGAAAGTGAAAATAAATTTTTTATTTTGTAACATTTGAAACCATTATGACAAAAGTTTATATATATTTATAAACTAAATAAAATGATATTAACTTTCATGTTTAAAGGTAAACACCGCCGTTGATACTAAAATGAAAGAAGCTGATGAATTAATAGACCACAAGAGAGAGGAAGTTGTGAAATCAGTTCAGGAAGAAGTCTCCAAAGCAACTGGTTCATCAGCTGAAGGATTCGGCGCAGTACTTGGAAAGGCAAAAGGTCTTCTTAATTGTAAGTTCATTTTATTACATCCTTAATTTTTATTTTAAAAAATAAATAAAACTAGTTGGCATATGTGAATAATTTGCAACAAATGACAAAATAATAAGGAAATTAAATAATTCAATGTATATCATAAGATGAAGGAATCATTTTCTATTATTTCGGTAATTGTAACCGACCATGGAAAAGAAAATTATTACAAAACTTCCTTCATGTTTTAAACCAAAATGTTTACGAATTACAACAACCTGTATCTCAGCTACTAATGGTGAAGGAGTAGATTTTCAAAATGAAGGCTCAATCATTGGATTTGTAGAAGAATTGACGAAGAAATGGCCTAACGATAAAAAACATCTTTGAGAAACAATATATAAATATAAAAAAGCATCTACTTCATCATTAAATATTCTTGTAATATTCATATATTTGTTTTACATTTCCTGTTTACTAGGATGTGAACATATTTAGAACTTGAAGAATATTGTATTATTTTCAATTATCTATGATAAAATAAAATCACTGATCAGAGCACAAGGAGATAGCTTTAAGAGCCTGAGCCGCGAAACCTGAAGTTTCTCTTCCAGGTCATAATTCTATCGAATTTCTCTTAGAGTATTCTATCCCTTATTTATTCTGGGTCTCCTTTTCTTGACCTGATCTTTCTGTCTGTGCATGATCCTATTCAGTCATCAATCATTCTCCTATATGATGCAGCTGGTCTCACATTAAGATAAAATATCTTTTTTATTTCACCCTTCTTCTGTTCTATCCCTATGCAAGAGAAAATAATTGACACTTATATTTATACTTCCATCCTAAAACACTTATTCATTTTACAATATTGTCTGAGGATCTTTAAAAAATTATGATACGATGATATCATAGTATCATATATAACATATATATGATAATATATAGAACTAACTTGAAGTTAGTTCTCTATGATATTGAAAGTTAGAAACAAAGTGATTTTATTTTTGGAGTAACATAGCTTCTCCACTTTACAATTAGTAATAACTTTAATTGTTTGTTTTTTTTAAATATAAAATCTGTTTCAGTTTAATCGACTTCAGACCTTTTGCACTTCAGCTGCCACGTCTCGCTTTCATTAATGCAATACATTAGCTATTATATTTATTGTTAGCACATAGATTATCGTTAGATATGTTAGAAAATAATGTATTATCTATTACTTTGTAATTTGTTATGTCTATTGAAGATATAATTACATATTTAAGATTTCAGAGCCTTATAATGTGGGTGAAGATAAGTATATGGATGAAAATTTAACTGCCCTTTATCAAAAAATTATATCATTATAGTTGATTAAACCATTTAATCAAAAGCAAAAATCAAAATTATTGAGTAATTTTTAATTTCTGTAAGAAATTTAAGTAATTACTCTTGGTAACATTGTTACTTATTCATAGTTATTAGATTTTTATTTAGAAAACCATTGATTTTCAATTATAATTATAAATGATTACAATGTTAAATTTCTGAATAAAATTTTTTTTTTTACATCTATTGATTTTATTTTGGTATATATGTATAAAAATACATTCATAAATGAATTAAAGACTTGAGAGATATGCTGAATAAGATGACCATTTGCAGAATGCTATCCATGACAACGAGATATTACTATAAATATAGAATGTTAGAGTTATTTTCTTTTTTATAAAAAAAAATATATATATATTTACTGCTTGCTAATTGTTAACCTTTTCCTTTCTAAGGCCTTCAAATAAATAGTATGATTCATTTTAATGTGATAATTCACTTCCTTATCCTTTGTATTTTATGAATACCCGCAAGCATTTAAATATTTTATTTTTGTATAACTAGTTGCTTGAAACGTGTTATTTTTTTTTGGTGTTTTTTTCTGTAGTTAGTATTATTAAATATATATCTATATATTTTTCCTTGTCGCCTAGTTATGGCATGATTTATTTTTCTAAATTTCACGTCAATTATCTGTAACACTTTTTGACACACACACTTTTTTTGATAAGTAAAAAATTGTATATTTGTAATTGTATTTAAATTCATAGGCCCACATAGTTTTATTTTTTGTCGAAATGTTATGATGTATAAAAAAAATTAAAAAAAAGTATTGTAACTCTTAACCAATGAAATTATATGTACTAAATTTTGATGGGACTTTGTTGAAAATGTAAAATTATGGGTAATAAAGAGATTACTGCTACTCTCATTTTCATTAAAGTATATTTCCAAATTATCTAGACAAAGAACTTCCATCAATTGTTATTATTATAAACTGATAAGAATAACAAAATTGTTATGGCACATCAACCAAGATCATTACTATTATCATCTTTTATTTTATTTATTTGACTGACAGAAGAATGACATAGGGCCCACATATAAAAAAAAAAAGGTTAACATTAAGTCAAATCTCAGATTACGACTACTATACTCACTACTTTCAAGACGCTCAAAATTAAAATTAAAACATAAACTGAACACTTACATTTATCTACTAAGCCTATATGGACCTACGCTTCACAAATATATGGAACAGCCAAGATGACCCACATACAAACCCTTCAGTCAAAAACTTTTAATCATAACTAAAGCTCCATGGTACACCACAAACATTGCTTTACATAAAGATCTAAACATACCAACAGTTAAAGACCATATATGGACACACTACAAAAAATTTTACGATAACTTCCATAGACATACTAACACACTGATACAAGACATGGCCACGATTGACATGTCCGAAAACATGCTTCGGAGGTTTGAAAGAAGTGGATGAGGGATTTCCTCACCTAAGAATATACTACAATCAAGTCAAGAAGGCCTGCTGCTGGGCACTCCTTTCCCTCACGCTGATCTAGCCACTATCAGTATTATTCCTGACAGCAGACTCGCTAATTGTCAGTACTTATGACAAGTGTGGGTAAAGAAATAAAGTTTAAAAAAAAACTGATTTATTATTATTTTTTTTTTTTTTTGCAATATCGCATGAAATTTCAATTTGCAGGATGAATTCAACTTAAGATGAATGGCTGTGTTCTAAACCTATGCAATCCATGAAAGGTCTTGGGTTCCAGTTCTTGGAAAACAAGTATTATAATAACAGCAATATGTTTCATGGCATCATCTAATTTTTTCACTGTACTATCATACCTCCGTGGTTGGAGCTTTGAGAGTTTAGATAAGTTTTGCTTCACTTCAAGGTGAAGAAAAAGATATAACTTCATAGAACTTCAACTGTTGCAAGAGATAATTGCTTCTTGAAGAAGCTAAAGCTGTAAAAAGTCTTGTTTGATGAAGAAAACCTTAAAAAAAGAAATTTTTTTCCCTCATAATTTTTTTCCCCCTCCCCCTTTAGTCAAAGTTAAATCATAGGCATTGTATCATTACCAAGTCTTTATGACTTATTTTAATAAATATATTTATTTTCTTCCTTTTTTATTTATAATATTCTTTTCACACATCAGACCCAAGAACAAAATTCATTTTTCAATTATGCTTCTTGGATACAGTCTTGTATAGTGTCTATTCATATTTTCTAATATGTGAAGAAGTACATACATAAACAATGTAAAACAATTTTCATGATGAATTCGGTATAAAAAATAAGTAAATAAGTAATAATTAAATTAATAAAAGATTTTTAAAAAAAGTTGAAATTCCAAATGAAAAAAAAAAAAAAAGGCAAAAAGTAGCAAACAGTTCAATAAAATAATATATAAATGGTAACATTTATTTCTTTGCAATCGGTTACAAATAAATATATAATTCTTTCAAATTACCAACTATAATACATAACAAAAATAAATAAATTAATCTTAAAACATAAAAATATACTTCATTAGGTACAAAACAACTAAGAAAATATTCAAATAAATCAGACATATAAACTCTTAACACATAATAAGCATTTTATTATTGAATGCTCAATGCAATGATGTTGAATACAAAAAAAAAAAAGTATAATAAAAGAACTGAAAAATAAATCAATATGTATATCTCAATATACATGATAAAACCTAGCATCATGGAAAGGCATTGTTATGCAGCTAATCAATGTTCAAAGATGCATAATTTAAAATGAGAATATATTTTTTCTTATATTTACAGTAGACTTCAGATAATTCAACATTTTTTGTTATTTATTAAACTAAAAATAACTGCATAAAAAGAGGCCTAAAGACACCTTTTTTTTGTACCCGAAAATGCTTAGATCAAGTGAATGTTTGGGTGACTGTCATGCAGTCGAGATCTAGGGGGTCAGTTGTCAAGAAAAATTAGATATAATCTGCTAGAGAGCAAACGATCCGAAAAATATTCTCTGCCATTTTTAAATTATTTTCCAATTGAAGTTTATATGTGAACTTTTATATTGTAAAAGATTATATAGGTATAAATTATATTATATAAACTAATTTGAAACCAGAACAATAAATAAAGTGAAGTAAGCCACCTTATTTGGCTTTTAATAGCAGTACTCAATAACAGTTTTAATGATATTGATGGAATATTTATTCAGTATTAAATTGTGATTTCAACTTTACCAAAATTTAGTTCTAAATTAGTTGAGTAAGTTTTACATAACTGCATATGTAATTTTATTTAGGAAAATAATAAGGTATATATTTTAAAACTAAATCATTTAACAGACACTTTTACCAGATATTCTTGGAAAACAATATAAATTTCTAGGTAAATAATTATCTTACATGAGAATACTTTGTCTTTTTTTTCCTTTTAAACTGTTTACTATGTTTTCCATTTTTATGAAAGAGATTAAGTATAATTAATAATTTCAGGCAGTTCCACTTCTTTGTATATAATAAAGTTCCTTTTATCCAGAAATTAACCGAAGTCTACTATCCAGATAAATACACAAAATAAATTTATAGTTTGTTAGTGATAAAATATAAAATTGATAACTATTTAACACTTTAAATTAAATTTTATCATCTGAAATAAGATGATAATAAAGAAACTTCGATTCACTGAATTAAATAATCATTTAAATATACATTATAAGTTGACAGATATTTTGCTTCAACAAAGTAAATAAAAATAAAAAAAATAATCAAACTTATTTAGAGTAATAGATCTTTATGAATATCTGCAAATCCTCATATATTGCTAGTTTTTTTATTAATAAATATAGCACATAAAATCATCACAGCCACTTATAGAAACCTGCTTTTTGTTGATGTTTTTCTTTTTCAGTTTAAATTTGGAAAATTATGACTAGATACTGTGATGTTTATTTTTATGAAATAAACCTTTTCTTCATAAAAAAAAGTTTGCTAAATTTAATTCCTTAAAGAAAAGTAATTAAACAGCTTACAATAGCACACCAGCGAGATATAAAAGAAAAGCTGAAATGAATTAACACCAGGCACCAACTCCAATAAACCATGGAAGACTCACGAACTTAGATCGGAAAGCAGGAACAGTCTATTTCGTAACTCGGAGGCTATCCGTTCTTAATCCTATTCCTCGTAAGTTTTCTTCAAAGATGAGTCTGTAAAAATGAATAATACAAAAAAAAGAAAATAAGATTAGAAGTAGTTCATCTATCAACTTATATCAACGTAATAATTAAGACATGGACGACTGAATATGTTATCCTCAAAGATTATGAATTCTACTTTTTAAGAGAGTATATTTGATATTTTAGAAGGTGATGTTTTTGTAATCATTACATCCGGTGATCTATAAGGGGGATATACAAACATAACATTTTAGATATTAGCAGGTTATATACATAAGTAGCTATTCATGTCCAGGAGAAGACAAAGGTGATCACTAAATTTGGAAAAAATTATAATATTTAAAATTTAATATCAAAGGTATTGAATTAATTTTATTAAGGCACCCACAAGAATCGATTTCTCACAAGCTGAGTTGAATTTCTACAACCTATTGATTGATAATTTATTTACGAGTATTAGTACAAGTACATGTACATTAAAGAATCTTTTTTTTTTCCTTCACGACTGATCATTTAGAGAGAGAAAATTTCCCTTTTTTCAATTGCCATAAATACACCACTAATCATGCCAAGAATTCAAAAATATCTAATTTGTTAAGTGTACCTTTTTTACAGAACACTGAAAATACGTTTACTGATAATCTATGTCAGAGCTAGGAAACCCTTTTTTATCAATAGAGGCCGCAGTTAGGTTAGGCGGTGATAATGGATGCTCCAACAATTTTTTATATTTTACTGTTTTTATTTTTATTTATCAATTAATACGCACATCCAAATACATGTATTTAACTTAATTCTATTAATTTTCAAATTTTCCTAACTCAAATAATTAAGTATTTATTAATTCTAGTGCAGCATTGATAAAAATGTATGGAGGCCAAATGTGACTTCAAGGCTGCAGGTTCCCCATCTATGTATGATATTATACAAAGCTTATAGAGTTTGTTGGTTTGAGTGCACTAACGTAAGACTGATTTAAAAAATTCTTTTATCATTAGACAGTATATTTCCTAATTTAGACTTTATAAATCAAGCTAAGACCCATAGGAATCGAGCAGTAAGCATAAACAGCAATCAATCTGGAAAAAGTATCCCACTTTTGTATTTGTGAAAGCAAGGTTAACTACACAAAAGTTTGCAATTAGTTTTGTTCTACCATTTTATTTGCCTCAATTTTGGATCATGCCTGAAGAGTACCTCATTAACTGAATAACACCTGCAATTTATGTAAGAAAAAAAGTAAACAATTTATAACCACGTAAGAGTTTATTAAAAGAAAACTATTTTTTCCCACAAACAAATGTATGTTGCTCTTCTGGATAATCAGATTTTGGTAATAAGATTAATTTTAATAGTTCAATAAAGAACTTCATTATCTTTTTATTTGTTTAAACTAATTAACAATGGTAGATTTATTAACCATTGTTATATCCGCTTGGTTTTTAAAAGAAAAAAGAAACTGTTTACCTCATTTAGAGCCACTAACATAAATTAGATGTCCCTCAAGACAGAAGGTTTTTATATCATGTGCTTTTCTAGTTAACTATCGGTTTATTTTTTTCATAAAATTTTAATTATTTTGTTGGTTTATTGTCTACATATCTATTCAATAAAATTGAAGAGAAGTTAGTTGTGGTTTTCAGTCAAAATAAATAAATTATATTATTTTTTTTACTTTGTGTAAAAATGAAGTTTGTGATCAACTTCGTTTTTTTTTTTTGGACCTTTACTGGGATATACAATTAAAAATTACTAGTAAGTATATATACTTCTTAATATTTTACAATTATTTGTGAATACATTTATTTAGCTGGTTTCATATGCAAATGTTAATTTTTTTTTGTTAACATATTTTTTCTACCTTATATTGTTTTTATAATTACATTTTATTCAATCAAAATAATTGATGGTAATTTCAATTAGAGGGCTCAAGTAACAAAGAAGTGTATAAGATTAAATAATTTAAAATGCGTAATAATGTCACTGTAGTAGTAATAAACAATAAAAACAATCACCAAATGCCTTAAATTATTGAAGTTATATTCAAAATAGCATATCCCAATGAGAAAAATTGAAAATGAAAATTATACTCTATAAATGCCCTTAAACAAACGCTGATTGGTATATTACTCACTCCATTATAACTACAATACATCTAATTTAATTAGTTTTCCATTTCAACACATTTATCTTATTAATTGATTTACTTTAAATTTTATTTCTAACTTCAATTTTATATATATAAAATTTATTTAAAACATGTTTAAATATTTATTTTTAATATGTAATTTCTGTTTTGGCATTTTAGCTGAACTCATTGCTATAATTTTGGAAAAATAATTGTTTTTCATTTAATTGATTTAACTTTTATGGATTTATTCATAAAACAAAAATATTTCGTAGGAAGCAATTCAATATTTGGGCTAATTATGAATATTCATCACATACTTCTACACATCTTTCAGCATAAAAATTCTGTCTCAGATTATGAAACACGTGGCATCAATCTTTAGGATCCTTATGAAGCATCAGTTGATCTAAAAAATGTGTTTACTCGGGATAACAATAAAATAGTAGTTATAAAAAATTAAAAAATAAGCTTTTTTTTATAAATCAAAGATATAATAAATTGATCAACAATGGACACAGTTACATTACGACACTAAGATAACAATAACAGGTTTAACAATATTAATAAATTATAACACTTTATTTTTTAAATGAGTTTAAGCTACATACTCTTCTCAAACTAAAAAAAAAATAAAAATCAGCCATAGGTTACAAATATCTTTCGTAAATTCATTAGTTAATAATTTTTCAGATTTTATAATGAAAGCGGTAAACATCTTGAATATGGAAGCAAAGCACAGTCACCTGTTCCGTATTATTAGTCATCTCTCTTAAGAGTATTTAATTTGTTATGTAATATACAATTGAAAAAATTGTTAATTGATATTACTTATCATCATTGATGTTAAAAACTTTTATAAACTATTAAAAAAAATTATAATTTAAAATAATCAAGGGTACTGGTTCACAAAAGTCACATCAGGATGTGCGTGGGGAAAGATCACACGATCAAACTGTACATGGGATGGCTAAATTAGAAGTTTTTCTAACAGAGTACAGAGGTAATCAATAATCAGAATCCTAATTACATGTGATTCAAAGAGGAATAATTTAAAAAATTAAAATGAAGAA